ATAAAATTAAAGGAAATTGGTCTTATTTCTGACTGGAGTTGGACAAAATAACAATATCAAAATAACTAAAAAAGACATTAGATCTTAGAAACTGGTTTTCTTTCTGATGTTGAAATGATAAAATCAAACCAGAATTTTAAGTTTTCTCTGAATAATTATAAAATAACATTTCTTTTTTATACCCTTTACAATGATTTTAAGTTCTCTAAATAATTTTAAATTAACAAAGAATAAAACATGACAAATGAACTATCATATGCCATACAACCAAAACCTGTAGCCTAATAAACTATACAAATAACAATAAAAACAAGAAAGGCATCTAAATTTCAATCAAATATTTTACCAAGCTCTAGGAACCTGAAAAATTATAGTAAATATGATTTAAAAATATTGGTAAACAATAATCAAATGGAATGGCCAACAATTATTTTGACACCATGAATACGTAACATGGATGGAAATGAAGTACGCCGTGATATGTGCTATGAAGAATATTTTTATTTAACACGAAATTGATAAAGCACACGATTCAAACTAATTTTATTTTTTTCGTAAATAACAAATTCAGTCTCAAAGAATTAAAATTGTTAATATTTCAATTATTTTCTCGCATTTGCGCGTGTCTAACTGGATATAGTCTCGGTCAACAGTACCTCATAGTGCAAAGCGTACGGGGAATATTCGTATGAATGATAGAGACTACATTTGACACGTCTTCCGCCATTATAGAATTCCGCGAAAAAGAGATAAAACATACTTTTTTCAAACGAAAAGTATAGCTGAACAAACTATTATTATTATTATTATACAAAAAGCGCACATTATTGTTATAAGAATATAGTCTAATTCATAAGAAAATGAAATAAAAAATACACCAGATAAAAGCTCTATTAAAGCGCTATTCCACACATCTCAACATTTATCAGCTTTTTGTTCAATCTATAAAAGCCCTACAGTCCTACAAAGTGTTTGTTTAGTCAAGTGAAACAAGAAAATGCATAGGCTAAATGGAAAAATAGAACAAGTACACCTTAATGTCAAAAAATACGTAAAACTATGAAATAAGATACTTCTATATGATTTAACCGAAAGGTCCTATATATGCAACACGGATATATAATATCTACAATCAAGTAAAACGAACTGCATCTATTCATTTTAAGTATTGCGTCGAGCTGAATAAATTATGTGATTTATTGTCATTAAGGGATCTATGGGTGGTTGGTTAACAATGTGTAACTAAAAACTATGATATATTGTCTTTATTGCCAACATTTCAAAGTACATATACCTAGAACTTTCTACACAATATATTCATTTAAGCGCAACTATGTCATTTGGGGATTAATATACCACATATTACAAGTCATACCCAACGGAGAGAAAGGACGATTAATTCAAATTCCACCATTTTGGATTTCATTTTGCCAACCATTGTGAATTTCTACCATCAAGATTTCTCGAAATTAAATTATTGAGATTATCGCTGCCCTTTTATTACCAAATTAATGTTGTTGTTTTTTTTTCATTTTTATTTTTATTTTTTAAAATGATATTCTTTTACCAAATTTAGCAGTCATATTGAAAGAAATGCCCGGCACCAAATGACAAATACATTTTTTTAATTGATGTTTGTTAAATTCGATTTTTCCACACATTTCGCTTGCATAACCAGTCGGTGTTTGAGAAATTTAAAAATAAATTATTTATCCTACCACCACTGAAAGAAACTGATTACGAGATATCGCTCTCCGATAATTCCTGAAGAACGCTAAGTTAATCATGTCATTTTGCCTTGGCCGATTTTGAGTATGATTTCGTCTGACATATTTATCATTGAACCAAACTGCATTGGTTTCTTTTGCAATTTGTTTAGGATAAATTGTAGCCCTTAAAACGTTATAGTTACACCAAGAAAAAACATAAAACATTATATGACGCCATGACGTCATAGATTTTATGGCGTCATCATTGACGCGTCATAGTTGGGACCCAAAATGGTGCCTTTAAATGAGTTGTCGTAACTTTCCCTTTACAGGGCTTTGTATAAACCATGACAATGGTGTCTAGTCTAAGATGCCAGTGGTTGCTATGTAGCTGTTCTGACGTGTTGTCAACAAATGACAATTTTGGCATAAATGATAATGATTAGGTAGGCCTGTATTTTAGCTGCTATATTCGACTACCTCATTGTATTTTCAAGCGATTCCTTGTGACTAATGAGTATGACTCATTATTAGGTAGATCATGCTAGTCAGATTTTGAAAGCATGATTTTTTTTTAAAAATCCACCTGATTAATAAAAATTGGTGAGTGAAGCTAGCCTATCAAAAAAGAAAACATAGGCCTACTGACACTGTCACTGCATATAGTTACGAATATATTTGGATACCTGAAAACGGTTTTAATTAATTTATGACTGATTTCCTACTGTTTTATGTGTTTCAGAAATGCGATTTCATAAAAGATGATGTTTGAAAATGGTGTGATAGTCATGTGTGCAGAATTCCTTGAATATATTTGCCAATAAAGATTTGAGACGAGGAAGATCATTGATCACAAAAATGAAAAAAAGTACACTGTTATATTTATACGCAGTAATTCGCCTTGATAATTTAGAGGAGGTTTATTGTTCATTTGACCACACTTTTCGACCAATCAGAATCCAGGAAATTTCTAATTTGTGCTACAATAAAAAGTAACGTTGCTACGATAATAATATTATCATGTCATATTATTGATTTATTGATTATTGATTTAATTTAAAAATGAAGAAGCGAGGCTGGGGCTGGATTAAAAAGTAACGTTGCTACGATAATAAATAATATGTGTCAAAACTTCAAACAGTGATAACTTTGCTCATAATAAAGTAATTTGGATGAAATTTTCAATATATTAATTTTGAATTATTCATTTGGAAACTAAACTATTATAGCTAGTACGAGCAGACCTTTATCTTACATAATGCATCTTTAAAATAAGGGGAGGCCACTGTGGTTAAGTGGGTAGGACGCTGGATCGTTAGCCTGGGGGTCGCGTGTTCGATCGGCATTGGTGAGAACGTTCATAAGAATTTTCCGATGTGGTTCCCCCTTGTCAGTGGCGCACGACGGAGAGTCTGACAAGGATAGCTATCTAGTCGTTCGGATGGAACTGAGGTCTCGTGTATACTTTGGCGTGCGCGTAAAAGATATCTTGGCAATTGGAATTCGATATAAGAGTAGGCCGTAGTGCCGCTGCCCGGGCAAAATTTCCCTCATAGCAAACTGTATGGCGTATGCACGTCATCATTAACCCAGCCGGAGCAGACCAGTAGGACGTTAAACCCCATTTCATTTCATTTTTTTAAAATAAGATTAGTAAATCAGACAGAAAGTGAATAAAAGAAACCATGTAATTACACCATACCCTTACTCATCTTCAATACCCCGCATATTTTGGCACTATTTTTGATTGGGTATAAGCCCAGCTTGTGATCCTATCAGATTCCTTCGTTAAAAATATCGTTACGATTATCAAGTCTAGCGCTTATAGCTAAAATGTCTACATGTGACAATCGAGTTGCAAAGTTCAAGGTTCGATCAATGTCAAGGTTGCTGGAAATCATACCTGATCAACAAAGAGTTTCTATGGAGGCCGCCATATTTGTTTACAGTGTGTTATGTGCGACGACCCCTGATTGGACAATGCTAATTGATCACGTGTAAACACAACCAGCGCAAAATTTCGGGAATTACCCAGTTCTGGAGCAACGGTAGGGTGACCCATGTACTCACAGAAATACAGTCCACCGCTGATAGTTCGAGACTACCACTGAAGCGTGCACATTCGCCGTGCCGAGACCAACTTTCTGACAGTATGATACTATAAATAGCCATGGCACGTGCAATTCTCTACAAATCTATCAACTATTACAGCCGTAAAAAATTTATTGTTGACGATTTTGAATAGCAGTAAACTTAAGCTTCTTGGTTATTACAGCAGATTTAGAAATTACGTTCGTTTCATTTTTTAAATCGCTTTATCATTAACTGTACAGTTAAGAGCGGCATCTTTTGGTTTAGTACAAATAATATCTCTGAATCACTCGGGTTAGACAGGAACATGATACTAGCAGTAGTTTCATTTTACTTTTACAAGCTGCTTAAAACGATTGTTGAGCTACCTATCGTGCTTATTTCTGTTAGATGTTGTAAAACTCGCGATCGTTGCTTCAGAAACATGACCCTTACTGTGATATTACAGGTCCACACCCTGTCTTGATTGTGTTCATATGTGAGAATAAAGTAGATCAAATGGCCTTGTATTTTATTTATGAATACCAAGCATAAATTAAACTTGGCCGCTCTCGATGTTTTGTTTGACTATAAAATCTTTCCGGGAATATTCAATCCGGTTTAGCGACAACGTAGAAGGTGACACAGTACAGAAAGTTTCACACTATCTTTACACATATAGTCAGTTATTGAATAGCAATAAAGAAAGTATTTCAAATCCGTTGGGCACATCTCAGATAGCCCTGTATTCGCTTGTAGTCATGATTTTGAAGATGTCAATTATTACGTTTTAATCTCTATAATCTGACTTCGATAATATTTCTAGAATGATATAAAAAACGTCTATAGGTTTCTAATGATCGCCTGGGGGTTAAATTGAAAATGTTTTAAATATTATGAAAATGGCAAACCTGAAATTGTAAATTTGGGCGGGGGTCCAAGTATATACAGACCCCCCAGAAAACAATTAGGGTGGGGGCGGACCCCACCACCCCCTCCCATGTGTGACGCCCATGAGCCTAAAATAGGCCTAGATTGTTCCTCAATCTTTACCTGGTAATAAAATCATGTGTGTAAAAGACGCAGATGATTTAAAATTATCATGAATTGGTAATAATATTATTTTGTGTACACAAGAGAGAAGTGGCCTAATACACGCTCGCCTGTTCCCCGTTCTTTTTCTGTAAATAAATACTTTATGCATAATAAAAACAGACTTACCATCTGAGAATTCTTGCTTCGACATGATTGTTACTCCTTATTTTATTTTGTGTTGTTATTATTAAGACCAACAACTTCACATGAACTGATTCACCGTACTGCCTGTCTTGCGTCTTTATCCAACAGAATACGGGGGGTTGGATGGCTGAATGGTTAGCGTGCGCGTGCTGTATCATAAAGTCTGTCATTGAGTCGACTGGCGTGGTGACAACTGTAGGGTGTTTGTTGACCTTGACTTCAATACGATAATAAAAGTTGAATTTCTGAGAAACTGTAGCAAGTGGCTCAAGACAAGTTGTTTTAATCCATAATCAATTCACTACAAATTCGCTGTATTCAATAAAAAGAAGAGTAGTGTTTTATTCGCTGGCACTTTATTTTTCTAACACTAATTTTGCCTTGAACACAGCGAATTTTTTATTGAATTGACTATGGATTAAAACATTTTGTCTTGAGCAACAATTTTTTAGAGCATTGGTTATTAATTGTGAATGCTGCTCCAACAATCTGATTGGATGATTGGAATTAAGGTCAGTACAGAGGGGGATTTCGGTTGCAAAACCATTTGACAACTTTGAAGTCACTTAATAAAAGATACATTATGTAAGATTTAGACAAAGAGCTAGCCATTCTTGCTATAATAGTTCGAAAATAGATAATGTAAAATGAATAATTTGAAAATTTCATTCAAATTATTTTATTGCGAGCGAAGATATTAACCGTTGGAGGTTTGACAAGACGTGTGCAATAATTTCAACCACCGTACTGGTTGTTCGAAGCTAAGGCTCGCTCCTCCATTTTTAGCTTAAATCAAAATATGGCTGAACTGTTTTCCGATGCCACCGAGGTTTGATTATGACCTGGATATTTTAATTAATGTCTAATTAATAATCTAGAAAACATTTCAGGCCTAAAGAAAGACCAGCCATAGGTCCCGAATCCCGAATAACGTGCCAACTTCACGTTGCCCGAACAAGAAGTTATTTTCCAATATCCATTGAGTATACACTGCAATAATAATAATAAAAACTAAAATTATAAAAAACCTTATTTATTAAAAACCACTATTTATTAACAATTACAATTATTTGCACCTTATTTATTATAAAACACGATTTATTAAAAAAAAAAACACGATTTATTAACAATTACAATTACATGCACAATATTAAAACACAGTAAAATAAGCAAGAAGGCTATTTTCCGATATCCATTTTAAAACAGCAGTTTTAATTTAGTAAAACAAGACACCAAGAAGGTTATTTCCTGACATCCATTGAGATATACACTGCAATAATTATAATACTACTAAAAATATAATTATAAAAACCTTATTTATTAAAAACCCTTAATTATTAACAATTACAATAACTTGCACAATTTTAAAACATTACAGTTTTAATTTAGTAAAAAAATAGAAAAGAACAAGAAGTTTATTTTCCGACATCCATTGAATATACAATGTAATAATAATAATAATAATAATGATAATAATACTAAAAACTACATTTATAAAAAGAAAGCCACTTGTTGCACATGTGTATAAACTATGAATAAGCTTAACAAGCAATTAAAAATAGGAAAGAAAAATTATACTTATTAGTCTTAGGTAATATGTATATCAACAATAAAAGATAAATATTGTAACAAATGTTATTCATCGCCATTTTTTTTTTTTAAAAATAAAACAAAAAAAAATAAATAAATAAAAAACACCCCATTCCACACAACACCCACATAAACTGTAATATTATGGCAAAGAAATGAGATTGTTTAATGATAAAATCATTTGTTATAAAATGAGATACAATAACGGAAAGAGATAATTTAACAACAATATTATATTTAATGATAAAATCATTTGTTATATAAAAGACATTCCGTAATTTAACGACAATATTATATTTAATGATAAAATCGTAAGTTATATAAAAGACATTCCGTAAAATAGATTTTATTTTAATGCATAGATAATTTAATTAAGTTCGTGCATTAGGGAGCCTCTAGCGCTAGCCAGGTCTCGGGTTCGCTTCCAGTATTGGCCCACAAAGTTACTCGGGAATTCCCGGCGCGGTTTTCCCTTGTCAGTAGTGTAGGAAGGATGGCCCGACAAGGAACAGTGTCTAGTCTTTAGGATGGGACGAAATATGGATAAAGGGTAAACATTGGCGTGCGCATAAAAGAACCCATGGCAGTTGGAATTGGGAATAAGAGTAGGGATATAAGAGTAGGCCATAGTGCCCCAACCTTGGCAAAATTTCCCTCACAGCAGACTGTGGTATGGCGTCTTAAATAGCCCAGTCAAGAGTAGAACAGTAGAAAGGTAAACCCTATTTTTTGTCTTTATCATTATTAGTTAATATTTACAAGTAATCACGAGTGTCCAGTGCATATATTGTACTCGATTAACCATAAGGAGAAGAACTGGTGGTTACTACTGCCGTTGAATCCCGAGTGTCCAGTGCATAATATATTGTACTCGATTATGCATAAGGAGAAGAATTATTGGTGGTTGCTGCTGTTGTTGTAAAAACGACAAAATTGAGAATTATGGCTACTATGATCCAAATAATACCTATCACCAGGCCAATAATGTTTAAAGTACGAGCTGTTGATCCCTTGGCTTGAGCAGTGTTCACATCTCCAGCAGTAAAGGCATCACGTGACTGAAATAGAAATGAAATGAAATGTTCTGCTCCTATACTGGGCTAATGAAGACGGGCATACGCTATACAGTGTGCTATGAGAGAAATTTTGCCCGGGCAGCGGCACTATCGCCTACTCTTATATCGAATTCCAACTGCCAAGGGATCTTTACGTGCATTCCAATGTTTACACGGCACCTCAGTTTTTCGTCTCATCCGAAGGACTAGGCAGCTGTCCTTGCCTGGCCCTCCATCCTGCATCACTGACAAGGGGAAACCACGTCGGAAAATCGGGATGAACTTTCTCGGCCAATGCAGGGATCGAACACCCGACCTCCAGGCTAGCGAGCCAGCGCCTTACCCACCTAGCCACCGTGGCTCCTGACTGAAATAGAGTTATGGTAAGCATACAATAAAACGCCGCTAGGTGGATTTTAAAATTTTCAATTACTTACAGGATTATGACTACTCATATGTGACAAGGAAGGAGTAGGGTCTCTTGTCGAAAAAATGATTTAGTTTTTGTTGCTCTCTCTCTCTCTCTCTCTCTCTCTCTCAAATATTTCATTCAGTTTCAAATACTTACCCCGCATGAAAAAATTATTGATGCGATTCCAATTGGACAGCAACAGCACAGACAAACAAAGATGGAGAATCCCAGATAATCCTGGGGTTTTGTCACGTAGAGTGTTGACGGCTGTGGCTGTGTTACCTGAAACCAAAAAAAATTCTCTGGTCAAATAAATAACTTAGTATCATTTCTATAATAACCCTAGTCTGGCCCAATATGTTTGGGATCAAACACGGAATCTCAGGGTTAGTGCGCCAGGGCCTTATGCACTGAATCCGCTGTGGCCCCGCTTCTATTTCCAAACAACAATTGAGGTTGTACCATTTTGATGTTGTACCTCGTCCCAAGGGGGGTTGGATGGCTGAATGGTTAGCACATGTGTGCTGTATCATAAAGTCTGTCATTGAGTCAACTAGCGTGGTTTCGATTCCCCGGTTGTACGTGACAAGAGTAGGGTCGCCTGTCCAACTTCGTGGGTTTTCTCCGGGTCCTCAGGTTTCCTCCCACTGCTAAAGACCCCTACGCGCAAGCGAATTATGGAAATAAAATTGAACCATATGTTAGTCCCGAAATGACCTAGTTTGTGTCAAGTGGACGTTAAACCCCATCTCTCTCTCTCTCTCTCTCTCTCTCTCTCTCTCTCTCACCTCGTCGCAACATCATTTTTCGTGAGTTAGTGCTTATTTACTGATCCTCTATGGTCCCTCTTGAAGTAACGGGGAAATCAAACTATTGTGTAAAATCATTAATGCTAATTTTAGTCAGTTTGTGTTACATATCTTTAGTTTAACGTCCACTCGACATAAACTAGGTCATGTCCGGACTAGCACTTGCTTCAACATTATTTCAATAATTCGCCTGCGCGTTGGGGCCTTTATCTGTGGAACAAAACCAGGGGACCCAGAGAACATCTACGAAGTTGGACAGGTGACTCTTCAGGTACAAGCGGGGAATCGAAACCACACCACTTAATAGACCTTAAAATCTATTATGCCCCTGACCCCCACCCCCACCCCAAGAGGAATCAATGATCCTTGCAACCATCAGTTTTATTATGCCCCTGAGCCCCCCCCCCACCCCCCAGGAGGAATCAAACTATCGTGTAAAGATCCTTGCAACCATCAGTTTTATTAGGTTAAGGTTGCATATCTTTAAAACCACACACAACATTTTGAACTGAAATAGTAGGCATTATGCATTCCATCTCGAATTATCCAGTAAAGATAAAATGGCTGTAGTCTAGTGATAAATTAAAAACCAACAAACTGAAAGTAGATATAAGTAAAGACCATATAATTCATACTTACAATAACATTGCTACCGGCTGAGTATTGCGCTTGACCATATCCTTGTTGTGGGGCATATCCTTGCTGCGAGGGGTATCCTTGCTGCTGGGGGTATCCTTGCTGCGGGGGGTATCCTTGGGGATTCTTAACTGAAAGATAAATAAGAACGATTATTTTTTTTTTGCTAAATTTTAATATATTCTAAATATCTTGACCAGCGGTCCTACTAGTTATACTCCCAACTTTAACATCCGCATACTGCAGCACCTTGATCGCGAGATGAAACAAGTATTCATCTTACCGCTATTTATTATTCAACTTGGTGTAATTGACATAGAAGGGGTGTAAATACAATTGTAATTGACTTGCATATACAGGAAATAATTTGTTGTGTTTAACTTAAAATGGGTGTTTATACAATTATTTGTTGTAATTGATGTAGAGGAAGTGTATATACAATTATGTATTTTAATTGACTTAGAAGAGGTGTATATACAATTATTGTAATTGATGTAGAAGAGGTGTATATACAACTATTTGTATTTAACCTAGAACCGGTGTATATACAAGTATTTGTTGTAATTGATGTAGAAGAGGTGTATTTACAATTATTTGTTGTATCTAATTTAGAAAGGGTGTATTTACAATTATTTGTTGTAATTGATTAACAAAGGGTGTAATTACAATTATTTGTTGTCATTGATGTAGAAGAGTGTGTTTACAATTAATTGTATTTAACTTATTTTTAACCACAAAGCCCTCTGCGCGACAACCACTGATAGTATTTATTATTTTTTTAATAGAAAAGTGGCGGTGGTCTTTATGTGAAACATCTTCTTTTCCTTGTTGCTCCAAGATATAAACCCGGTTTTTTGCATAGAATGTGTCTACATTTTTCAATTTGGGGGCATATCAAGCCCAATAACTCGCCCTTTGTCATTCTCTCTCTCCTAACTTAACTTAAAGATATATGATGTCAGCTTTAGATAAAGAGCTGGTCGTTCTTGCTATATTTCGAAAATACATAATTTTGAAAATGTCATTCAAATTACGTTATTATTTCTTTTTTTGCAAGTTATCACTGTTTGTAGTTTTGATAAGATGTGTGCATTGATTGTATATCATCGTAACCACGATACTAGCATATTCGAACTGTTCTAATCTAGTTAAATTCGCGAGCATCCCATATCATCGGGGGTTGTTTATCGTCTTCTCATGTTAATAACAATGACTACTTAAAGATACATTATGTAAGATTTAGATAAAGTGTCTTATTAATAATTTAGAAAACATTTCAGGCCTAAAGTAAGACCGGCAATAGGCAGATTTAGCTCTTGCATAATGTATGTTTAATAATTTATATGACAATTAAGGCGTAAAGAAAGGCCTTTAATAAGCATATTTAGCTCTTGAATAATGTCTCCGTAACGTACAATTATTTGTTGTAGTTACTAACATAGCGGAGATTGCATGTGTAGTTTAATGGTCGAGTGCGAGACATTAAGTAATATATTGATATTGAACGAGTGCGTGTAGCACGAGGGCTATTCTATGTATTACGCAATGTCTTGCACCAGACCATTAAACAACTTAAAATACAGACACTATCCAGCACGTGCATTGCAATAAAATACGCCACGCGGGTCTAATATTTCAACTAGTATAAATAATGTACGCTTGGCACATTGAAATAATGTTACGCCAATATCAAAGGATGATATCAAATGGCGGAGAGTGGAAGGTTGTGCGTGTGAGTCTCTCTGACCAACCTTCAATCATTTCAAGAATGGGATTTAGTATATAAGTGCTATATTTATGAATTAAGTATATATTATAAGAATATATTTTATTGTTGGAGATATGAAGTTGATCAGCTTATTGCTGATTGATGTGTAAAATGTTTTGTTGATCTCCAGTAGATTGAACTCTGTAACTAGGGACGCTACCATCATAACTATCTCTCACGTGCGGGGTCTCATCTTTTGTTTGTGATTATAAACAGGACTGCTCAGTGATATAACAATTGTAAGACATCTATGTATAAGTGTTATTATGTCATTTGAAAAACTGAGGAAGAGACTTACATCAGCCTCGAGTATTACAAACCCCAAAAAGTCAAAAACGCTTGATTTTGAGCTTGATTCGGGCGACGAACTAGATTTTGAGATGGAGGACAAATTAATCGACCGATTTCTCGTTGTGCTCCAAGATGAAAGAGCTGTATTTAAAATGGCCAATACACTAGCCAAGATCATAAGCCCTCAGGTTGCTGATGCTGTGGTAAAATTACAGAACAAGGTAGATCGATTAGAGAAAGAACTTCAAGAGAAGAACGCACAAATTAGTGAGATCTACAATAAGTGTGTCGAACTGGAACAGTATGGTAGGAGAGAAGGGGTGCGTATCTCAGGAATTGTAGAAACACAAGAAGAAGACACAGACCAGCTAGTGATCGAAGTAGGTAAAATCATTAATGTACCAATAACTAGAAATGACATAAATAGAAGTCATAGGGTAGGCCCCCCTGGCGCATATGATTCTGTTTCCAAACCTAGATCCATCATAGTGAGGTTCAAGGTCTACTATACCAAACAAGCTTTCATGAAAAACGCCAAAAGGCTAAAAAATATACGACCCCGCAAAACAAATACAGGTGTCAATAATGTTAATAATGACCCAAGTAAAAAAACATCGTTGAAGACCCAGGAAACAAGCGGTGCTGTTGCACACGATTTGTCTCTCGTACCTGTTGTGATGAAAAGGAATAAGATTTCTATTAATCATGATCTAACAAAACTAAGATCTACCCTTGCTTTTAAAGCCCGCCAATTATTGAAGGAAAAGAAAATCTCCCAAACATGGTGTAGGGATGGGATCATCTATATAAAAACCCGAGATGGATCAACAAAATTAGTGAGAAATATAAACGAGTTTGAGGCAGTCTGTGAGGCAACAAAGATCAGAATGAGAATTACCAAAGTAGGCGATGCTACTACAGATCCACCGACAGGTGAAGATTCTTACTTAAATATCTCGACAATGGAACTTTAAATCTTACTTACCAAAATGTAAATTAATGCATATTATTATTATTATTATTATTATTATTAGCTTAAATTGGATAACCTTTAAAAAGGCAGGTGTGTCAATCATAAAATTATTTAAAATTATTTAAAAATGACAAAGCCACACATCCTCTCTATTCTACTAAGATTAAATAGAGCAGCAAGTATGTTGTTTACATAGTACAGCTACAGACTCATCACGCAAACGCATATATATTTAACGGTTCGTGACCCACTTATACTAACAAATACGTCTGGCCGATTACAGTCTTACAAAATTAAACTTATAAAGTATTTGAATAAATATAACGTGAAATATTATAATAATTGTTGACGTTTACAAACATTTTATTAAAACCATATTTGGTTGTATCATATTCATCTAATAATATAAACCCGTAAGTAATAATTGACAGCTTTATTCTGAGGTAGTAGCATTTGAGCTCTCTTAAAATTAAGCCAATCCATAAAAATCAAGAAGCTTATCTTTTCTACTTCTAAAAGCTGTATATGCACTTTTCTGTTAAATTAAAACATGGAGTCAGCTATTAATATGATTGTAAAAGTGATATGATTGATTATTTCATAATTAAAAGAGTCTTCTTACATTTTAGTATATATGAAATTATTCATTGATATAGTGGAATGTTACAAAATTAAAGAAAAGTTTATATATTCTAGTCTATTGAGTCATTTAGAGATATAATTATTTCAAGTTACAAGAAAGTTGAAACATTCTAGGATATACAGTCATTCATTGATATTCTAGGATAAGCAGTCATTCATTGATATCACTGATTATTTCAATATTGACCGAAATTTTATATATTCTAGTAATGATTGATTATCTAATTGATATGGTTAATTATTTCATAATTAAACGGGTGTTTATACATTCTAGCATATAGAGTTATCCATCAACAATTAAAAGGAAGTTTATACACTATAGAGTATGGAATCTTCCATTGATGATTTAAAAACACAAAAGAAATATTATACTCTCGCACATGGAGTCTTACATAGATATGATTGATTATTTCACAATTAAAAGGAGGCTCATATATTCTAGTACATGTATATAGAATCATTGTTGATATGATAGATTACATCAAATTAGAGGAAGTAGTACACTTTAGTATATGAAAACTCATTACCAAAATGTATATTAATGCATATTATTATTATTATTATTAGCTTAAATTGGATAACCTTTTAATAGGTAGTTGTGCAAATCATAACATTATTCAACAATGATAAAGCCACACGTGCTCTCTTTAACATTCTACTAAGATTAAATTTTAATAGTGCAGCAGGTATGCTGTTTACATAGTACAGCTACAGACTCATCACGCAAACACATATATATAACGGTTCTTGGCCAACTTATACTAACAAGTACGGAGTCTTTCATTGATATGATTTTTAAAATAAGGTTTAAATGATCTAGTATATGAAGTTATTGAAGCATATGATTTATTATATCATAATTATAAGGAAGTTTATGTATTCAAATATATGGAGTTAGCCTTTGAGATGATTAAATTAGTGATATGATTGATTTTATCTAAATTAAAAGAAACTTATCCTTTGGTATCTGTGATATGAGGGATTATTTCATAATAAATTTTAGTAAAATTTCAGCCATGCATTGGTATGATAGATTGTTTCGAAATTAAAAAGAAAGTTTATACATTCTAGTCCAGGGAGTAATTTAGAGATATTATTGTTCCAAAGTTACATGAAAGATGAAACATTCTAGTTTATTATTAGGAGATTTATTTTAGTAAATAAAATTATCCAATTTTGTGACTTTATATTTATATAATAAGCGTATACCTATGTATATTATTTATGATTCTATAACTTTATATTAGAAAGCATATCATGATTAATGATACTATAACTATTAACATGATTGACGATTTTCAAATTTATAATTAATAGAAGGCCCAGTAGAAGTTTAAGTTTACCCATTCTCAGCCATTCTTGATTTGATCTTGGTCAAATGTTTCACCCTTGCCTTGCTTATATGTATATATGCTCACAGTTCATTCGCATATATGTATATATATTCCCACTAGAGA